TGGATAGGTGGGCCAAAATACTTTTAAGTGCCTAATCCGAGAACACAATTCAGATTTTTTTTTCAAAATTGAAATACTTAATTTCCTTTTTTTAAATGCTGAAATAGATATGTTATAGTTCTATTTATAACACACCTACCTCAGCAGCGATGGTTTAAATGATTTAATAATATTTATAGCATATAATACATCAAGTTGTCGAGAAATTAAACAACTGCGTAACTATTTTACAGGTGAGGTTATTATTTAATAAATCGGACATTGAGACTTAATAATACGTCAGTTTTAAACGGTAGTGATTATATAAATCACCTATAAAGCAAAATCACAGAAATAATCAGTTTCATCGAATATTCATGTTTAATTAGATACACTGCGTTACCTATGTTAAATATTAAAACTTAAACTTTTCCATAAATTACAAAAATCAACTTAAAATTAATTCCAATTGACAACATAGTATTGTTCTTGTCATAAATAGTACGTACGTATAAATTTAAGACATTTTTGACAATAAGAGTCCTTTGTATAATTAAAGATACAATAAAAACAAGAGGGACACAAAAGTAACGCAGTATTAATCTTCGTAACACAGTAGTATTTTTTATATACTATACTTTGTAGTTTTAATAGAGATCTTTATAACAAAACAATTTTAACTGTTCATGACTCGACATAAAATTAAGTACCTCAAGTAACATAAAACGTTTGCCTACGTCAATATTTGTTAAGAATTAATATATCTTAATGAGAAAATCAACTGTATAAACTAATGAGGCACTATATCTTCAGTCTCTCTTCAGAAATTTTTTGGCTTGTCATAATTGAAGTATAATCTTTTACCTTTCACGACAACTTTGGGGTTAGGGACAATTTCTACAATGTTTTCGTATGGTTCGTAAGATATATCGATATCTACTGCTTTGAATCTTTTGCCAGTGTCGTCAATTGTCTTGTAAAACATAATTTTAACGTCCCCTTCTTCATCAACTTTACTTTTAACAACACCAAGGAAAGTATATTATTTTTCCTTAACATAAGTAACTTTTACTAAAACATGGACACCTTCATATATCTTCGTAGGATGAACATTTTCCTTTTCAATTTGCTGTATTTCAGGTGCGTGTTCCTGTACGTTAGATGTTGACACTTAGCACAAGCTTGATAAGGGCTTCTCGTCAGAGCTAGAAGACGAATAATAAACTTCTAATAAATCTTGTAATACGTACCTTAAAGGTACGGCAACAATATTAGTAATGTCATCAAGGACTATATCATTATCCGATTCATCAAATGGAACGTCTTCTTTACGTTTGTCAATGATGGGATATGTTTGTATGCAGGCTTATATGTTTTTAGATTCATGCACTAACAAAAGCCCCTCTTGCAAAAACAACTAAGGTCTTTTTAGCGAAGTTCACCCAAAGTGTGAGTAAAAACCTGATGTATTGCATCGTACCCTGAAGTGGCACTAGACTTTCAGGTAGTGTTTTTTCAACGTTATGAATATCACTGTCAGTCAGTGTCACCAAGTAAAAACGGACCTTGCTCAAGTCTTTTAGGGTGTCAAAAAAATCTTCTGCATTAGAAATATTTGAACTAACAGCAACTTTTTTATCTGCAATGCGTTTGAGATAGCCGCCAACACCATTAGCAGCCCTTTTGCCATGCCCAGCTTCAAAGAAATTCCATGTAACGCGTATGATCTTTTACTCAGTGAATATTCTGTGACTAATGAAATAAAAATTTTGCTTCTGTCGATACTGAGTAGCTGGTCCATCGGAGAAAAAATGAATTGTAGTTATGTTAGGATTGTTATGTTGTATGTCACTAATTATTGGATGTAAGTGTGCCCAGATAGAGGCTGGATTATTAGAATTATTTGCATATATGGTACGAAATTCTCATAATCCAGCTTCAGCATTTTTTACCGGGTCTTGTTTCAATTTTTATCTATAGCGACGTTGTTTTTCTGCGTTTGTCAGCGCCATTTAGGACAGAAACTTCTTTCTGAGAAAAAAAGATACAATTTTCCTATAGCTATATCGGATTTAATAACGTATACTGTTTATAAGTAACAAAAATACAACTACGTTATCTATCTAACTACTGCGTTACTTTTTTTTGTAACGCAGTGTAGCAGTTACGCAGTTGTAAATAATTGCTCCAAATCAAATAATAAAATCCAGATATTTTTACACTCACGGTTGCAATACATACCTAAATGCGTAATAAAACAATAATAACGTGAAATATCGTCAGGACGTAACATTAACAGCGGTAACTCAGCAGACAGACAATAGATACACGCACCTCCTTCACGGACCGGGATGCGACCAGCACGGGGAGAGTACTGCCCCCCGCGCTGTTACTGTCGTTTGTTAAACGAGTTACTACAAATCGAACCAAATAATGTGCAAGTAACCTTAATCCAATCATTTTAAAGTCTTTTTTCATACAGTAACGCAAGGTAGCTACGATATTGTTACTCGTTGGGGACACAGATACATTAATTTTTTATTTTACTAAATGTTCAATTTAAAACGTTTCTAATGCCATTCTAATAACGTCCAAACCTTGCATTTTTATTATACCATCTATAATTAACCGCCACCTAGGAAATATTTTGAGAAATTGTTCCGTATAGTTTGGCACACATGCTCAGGGACATAGATATTTAGTATGAAAAACGGCTGCGTTACTAAAAATGGCAACTTTGTTACTGTAAATTTTCAATTAATAACAATTATTTCAGTTCAAATCATGTGTTTTGTATTAGATAATAATGTTAAATTTTAAAATGATTATACTATTGTCACAATTTTGTATCGGATTCGCATTAAATGTAATGTTAATTCCAGGGACTGGTTTTTAGGCATCAAAAAGTATTTTGGCCCAGGTGTGTCTTCCCCAAGCCCTGAAAACACGGCATCTATAACATTCGCCGTTGAATTGAACAAAGTAGTACGCATTTAAATAAAACACTTTAACGGTTTATAACGCGATATAGTTATATTAGTTTAAATTATTTTAACGACGGCCCGACGTTTCGGATGCTTTGCAGCTGCTGTGGTCACGTTTCGCCAAATACCTACTACGACGGAACAGATGGCGCGTACTTTCTCGTCAGTGACACCCTCGATCTTTAGTCTCCTCGTGACCACGGCTGCTGCAAAGCATCCGAAACGTCGGGCCGTCGTTAAAATAATTTAAACTAATATAACTACATCGCGTTATAAACCGTTAAAGTGTTTTGTTTAACTGAACAAAGCAGTATTAAATGAATAATTCCGTCCGATGCGTTTCCGCATTATGTATTTGAAATCGTGCGCCGATAATACAATCGGTGACGACGCATCTATTACACGGGTAGGTGTGGATTACGATATTACATCAGCGCACGTCACGGTCGGAGAAAGCATGACGTCAGGTGCGCATGCGAAGAAAGCAAAGCTGCGCGTGAGTCTACCACTCTTCCTTTCGTAGGAGGTCGCGGCGTCTGCGCGATAGCGAAAATGACACACTTCTTGTAACCACGACAACTGTCGCTTTTTCAACCGGAATTCAGGTCTTGATTACGAAATCGAATCTTATTGACTCATTACGTCGTATTGTACGCAATATGTGCTTTCCTGCGCGCTGAGGATATTGTGTTGGCGTCACATGCTCTTACTGATTGCGATACTATACGCGGATTGGATGGATACTTTTAAATATTATTTATTTCTCGGAATATCCAAAGCCTATTTTGGTCGCCAGCCCATCTTATGCAGATGTTTTTTTAAATGTTAGGACAGACAAGCGTAACTACTTGATGGTAGGCGATATACCCTTGCCTATTACATTTAAACAAGACGCGCTATCGGCCTATTGTGGCTTTGGATCTTCGTAAATCCTCAGATTGAAACCAAAACCCGATTAAGCTTCATAGCTTTTTCGTTTGTGGTGGTCCGTGACCGGGACGGAAGATCCTACCACCCAATTAATACCAATACCAGACTACTACACGAAGACCAATATGTCTTAGAAAATTATAAATTGAAAAATTAGAAACATCTTGGACCTTGGGAAAAAATATTGTTCACTTAAATGCGTTCAGATCCATATTCTAGTAATGTATGTCTGTCTTTCATCTATAAACGACTCAAGTGTACGCCGTTTGTATTATATTTGTTACTCGGTCTATTTTTAGAATCTGATTAGCACTTGAAAGCGATTGATAATATTTCACTACGTTAAAATTTTGTGCTATAGAACATATGGATTTTTTAACATTCTTAAACCCAACACTGTTATAAGGAGACTAGGGACGTCCCGCGTTGTTACTCGAGTTTAAAATATTTTTGACGCGATTTTGTATTGCTGGTTTTTCGATTATTTTGTGTGTCTCTCTAACACTAGGTGTTACACTAGTGTATTAGCCGCGGCCGGTCCGCGCTACGCCGGCTAGATACAAGGCTGTCACAGACACTCGTTCGTGACCTGTTGACTGATTTTAACTGAATCCAGGTCAAGATCTTTAAATTATTTTGCTTTTATATCGAATGTTTCTAATAGCAAAACTAATGTAACGTAATTGTATTGTAAATTATCATTACGATCTTGTTAATGTTGTGCTTTTGTTATAAAAATTGATTGATAGGATAAGTTTTTGCGTCTTAGTTTATACCTTGATAGACTAGACGTTTTAATTTAAAGGTAAGTATGATTATTAGATCGACTAAATTGTTATAGCGATGTTTTGTAAGTAATGTAAATCTGCAAAATCTCTACTATATCGAATTTATAATATCGCCTCTCGCCCTCAATATTGATAGCTAACGCGATGAAGTCTTACAAATCTCGACCACGAAAGTAGAGCTCTTGTTTAGTTTTAGCTCATGTAGGTCAGGTAGAAGGCAGGATAAATGTATTACGAGTGGGTTTCCCACAAACTTTGGACTCTACGTTCCGTGACGAATGTAGTAGTAGATAGAGGACGTAGCTAGAGCGAATGCTCTTCAGCAAAGAGCCACCGCGAACGTAAACATAAGCTCGTCGCTCGCGGCAACCCTGCCCTGCTGCGCCACTGTGCGCAACTGGGTCAGTGGGCCGCCCCCCGCGCCGCTCCCCGCCCGCGCGGTGGCGCAACCGCGCGAACGCGCACTAACATAGACCTGGATCGCGGGAAAGTGGGTCACCGACTCACTTTCACTTATTACATGGGCTCCTAATCGTTTTCCATTGTGCGAGCGGGCGGGGGTTCGCGGGGCGCGCATGCGGGAGGCGCCGGCACGCGCGTCGCCGTCGCCGGCCGGCCGCCACTCGTCAGCGGAACGTCTCGCGAACGGCACGTGTAGCGCCGCACTTCGCCGCTCGACGCGATCGTAACGACGCGCGCCGACAACAAACTCCAATAACAATTCTCGTCGCGATAGTTCACCTGGAAGCGGCGCCCGGCGCCCACTTGTATCAACCGAAATTCTTACTGAACAAAATGTGCTGGATTTACGTGCCTCTTACCTTAGTGCTCGAACAGGTGCAGCCCGCCAGCGGCAGATAGTGTTGCGGTGAGACCGCCAGTGAACTCAGTGACTGTGTGAACGTTGTTTCGGTTGAACGCCGTCGTAGGGATTTGTATAAGCTGCCGCTGAGTGCGGCCGAGCATGACGATGGATCAGCAGACAGGCCTCATGTCCCTCAACATGTCCCCGTTCGACTTAAGTCCGGGCCCCGAAGGCTCCGGCTCGGGCAGCGGACCCTCGGGAGCGTCCCAGCAATACGTGCCCCAAGGGGCCGCTTACCAATGCACATCAGATCCACAGCCGTTCGCCTACGCTAATCTGGACGCTTCATATCTGTTTCCTGCAGGTGCCGGAGGAGAACCGGGAGCGTACCTCCCAGCGGCCGGTACGGTGTGTGATCAAACTGACACAAAAGACGTGATAGAAGAACTCTGTCCTGTTTGCGGGGACAAAGTGAGCGGATACCACTATGGGCTGCTCACTTGTGAATCTTGCAAAGGCTTCTTTAAGAGGACCGTACAGAATAAGAAGGTGTACACATGTGTAGCAGAACGTGCTTGTCATATTGATAAAACCCAGAGGAAACGATGTCCCTTCTGCCGTTTCCAAAAGTGCCTGGACGTCGGAATGAAGTTAGAAGGTAAGAAGATCATTTCTTAGTACTTCACTATCATATGTTTCCATATATTTATTCTGTGCTTTAAAACTACCAGCTACACATACATACAGCTACATTTAGTCCTGATGTATTGCCGACCTTCACCTAGATTTATTCTTTGTTATCTACTTGGATCTTATCTGTGTGGATAAAATAGTGTTCTAAAATAAAATTTCCAACGATATTACTCTCTGTCTGTTAAATTGAAATTTAGAAAGGAAGTTAATAAGTCGAGTTGGTGGCATCCACTTTCGGCTCCGTTGCAGGTTGTGGCTCAACTCGTTGCTCAAAACAATTTGGCAATAAATCAACTCCAGACCAGTATTGCTCAAAGTTACCTAATAATACCGCTGAAGTGAGAATTTTATTCTTCACTTGTCGTAACTGTTCGTGCTACTTAAGAATATATTACTTAATTCGCAAACATCGATGTTATTCAATGGTTTTAATGTAGAGACATGGTCCGTGTACATTTTAAAGATACTTGAATTTTACAAATTGTAGTCGCAACCAAGCTTGTACGCTTCAGAAATTGTGTCGTAATTGTACACAACAGTGAAATCAAAAATGTTATGTATGACATTTGGATTACGCAAAAGTTACGCCTTCCAGTTTTGCAAAAGTAATCGTTTAGATGACCTATCTCACTAAATGAAAACTTTGATACGAAGGCTCTTTCATAAACATTTCATATTTAATTGTAATCATTCTTTAGGTTCTCGCTAGGAGTCCTTAGATGTCCTTTAGTTATCCTTTGCTTTCTGGTGGTAAAATGAAATCAAAAACTATGTCTAGCCATAGATAGAATTGCTAATGGCTGTTCCGTTTGATATGACAATCCATTAGGACATTATTGTTGTCTTCTTTCTTTCAAGATAGTGAAACACTATGAAAGTGTCATTTCAACTCTTTGTTCGGATCTTGTTTTCGCGTTAAGTACAAAAGCTTTTTAGGTTTCACACTTGTTCTTTTTAGGTGTTACATGTCTTAGATAAATATTGTCATTTGAAGAAGATGTTTCCTTGTTTTTTTTCAATATATAAAATTTTATCAATGTTATTTTTAAAGCAATCTTTAATTTGTAGTTAGGTGATCGAATGGGGCGGAGTTTGAAGCGCAGATCATTCTAAATTTAAAACGCGCGCGGCCGCATAGCGCCCTGACCTACTTGCAAGCGGGGCCGCGATGCGGCGCGCGCGCTGCCTGTTTGTGCGTTCACGTACGCAACATGAGGTTACGAGTGTGTGCGTGAGCCACTCGGCATTGCGCGTTTCGCCAGATGCTGGGATGTTTGCAACATCTATCACTTACATTGAAATAAGTACAGACATCCAAACTTTTTCGGAACTAAACAGTTCCAAGTCTCATACTTAAATTTTCTACATTGGTTTCAAAATTTTTAAGCTTTCCTTGCTCTACATTAGCATAACCAGGATTCTTTCCAATTAGATGTTGTTGTTGCCAATTAGGTCTTGTTTCTCGGATTTTTTCCTTTCGTCAAATTCAATGATTACTTTGCGGTTCAAGTCATTATTGTCTTTCGCCTCAAAAATAGTAAGTGAACGTCAAAGTCATGTATAAATCATCAGTTGGGTTTATTCGCAGCCCACATTTTCCCATTTAAATATTCTCTGATTTATTGATACGAGATGTATTAATGCCGTTGTAAAAAATAAATACATATATACATTTTTTTGAATCTTTATTAGTTATTGTCGATTCAATTCACACGCTCATGTATATAAAACAGTGTCCCATGCGAGTTGACGACTCATTTATCTTCAACATATTCTGGATAGCTGTAATATTATTAATGTTTCCGATCAAACATAAACAGTACTCTCTTGTCAATGTATTGAACCATTTGGTATTTATTTGTATTTAATGTTTTAAATTTTTTACTGCACTTGATTGATCACGAGATCCCGGCATTGTGCATCCTGGGATAGGGTGATAATATGTTACCTCGGCATTTGGACTTGGAGTTGTAATCATACCCATGACCCACCAGTCCAGGTCACCAATTTAGTAACGGTTGTCAATACGACACTGGATAAGGGTGGTGGGTCTAGCTCTGAAGTCCTTAAGAGAGTTGTACCCAGATATAGGGCGTTAATAGGTTATAACGACGTACAAAAGTAGGCGCTATAGCAACATATGTGAGATGACACAATTCTCACAAATCGGTTGGTGACCCGAATACTTGGTGTTGCGAGAGGTTTGCACCGCCCGCCCGACCTGCAACCGAGCCTTGTGTAATGCATTTACCTACTGTGTTTGTTTATTCTTTTACTGAACATGGTGGGCTGTATATTGGCGGATATCATTTGGTTTTTATACTTTTTTTGTATTCCTGTGTTGTATAATCATTCTATGGATTTGTTGGTCTTGCATGATTAGTTCCTTCATAATTGGGACATTTTTCAAACTAGATCCAATTCTAATTAGTTGATAGAGCGTTCTATATTTAAATTATTCTATTTGAGTGAAGCAGATCATAAAACAAGGGTAGTTGTCTTGAGTTGGTTATACACAAGCGACTGTGTCGTGCATTTCGACACAATCGACCGTTCAGTGTGGTGCGCTGCGCAAGCGCCATTTCACAAGACGACTCGTTCGACCTGTCGCAATGGACTACCCAAATGTGACCTGAACACGTATCACGTTACAGCCTCAAAACTTCGTGCGTTGAATTTTTTTAACGTCATTACTACTACAACCAATGTCATATATAAGGAAACAATAAAGATTTTTTGATTTTGATTTGATTTGATTTGAATTGTTTATAGTTTGACAGCTGTTAGTTTTAGCTCCTTAGATCTGAAACATCGATACGGGCGCAAGAGTGTGAATCGATCAGTTTGTGTACTAACAAGCGATTCGATTCATTTAACGTTCTAACTCTGAATAGGAAATAATATTGTGACGCCGTTCCGCGGTTATCCAACAGTCCCCCGTGTCTTTAATAGGATTGTTGCATCGTCAGGGATTGAGATATGAAAGGCTCCCCTCGCTAGGCACAGGTTACACGAGATGTTCAAATAATGGTGGTTAGATGGATTGTCGTTCGCTGTGTTCACACCAGCTTACGTAATCGACATCGTCGCTACGCCACGCTCGTTCCACACAACGACAGTTAAAACGTAATCAGTATTCAGACTGATGTTCTATTCAGTGTTTGGTTATAGTTCTCAATATTTAATTACGCAATTTTATTACACTACGCACGAGTATAAAATATTCTCGTTCGCGTATACAATTTTTTCTTATTAGGATCCGCTTGGAGTTATGGTGATGGATCACAAGAACGTGATTCGCAGCTTATGGCGTGGATAGATTTGCACAAAGAACCGAAAGAGAAGTGCGCGGGGTCAGGCGAAGCTCGCGACAGATGTTAGATCACAATAAAAACGCGCGCCAACCGACTATTTCGGCGCGCTGCCTTGACCCGAATTGAGCGTTTCGACAGAGCGGCCTCGTACACCGGGCCTTTCTATTTTTTAGGCATTACCTGTCTTATTATTACGGCGGCTCTAGGGGGCGCGAAACTTTGGCCATGGATGGTCTATAAGTGAGCCTATAGCCATTTAATTCATTCACTTAGTATAAAGCGTGATGAGATCGTCAATGTAACGTGATCAAGATTCTAAAGATGAAAATGTTGTAATCACCTCTTCTGAGTGGATCTTGACATAGTTGGGTAGATCAGTGCGGGTGATTTATCTCGATTTTCTTGTGTAACGATCAAAGCAGTGCTATCTAGGCGCGATAAAGTACGCGCGGGCGTTCGGCGTGTTTCGGCTGGCTTCGGCATCGGTCGTAGGCAACGGGGCGATGAGCGGGGGGCGCTGTCAGCCTTGACCAAGTTTCACCAACTCGTCGGTACAAGGAGCGCGTTCCCCACCTCTTCCCGTCCTTTCGGAACACACAATTTTTTATCTCGCTGACCCGATTACTTCATTTGACGACCCTGGTGCATATACCAAGGTCGTATTGTAGAATAGCTGTAATAGTAGCGGCACTCTTGTGCCTCTGTGCGGCAGCCTGCGTTAAGGTCGCTACAGATTGATCAGCTAGCGTGCCGCTAGGGCCGGCCTTGACCCATCTTCAGCAACTAGGTCATATATCTTAGCCGCAAATAGCTTCAGAATGCAAGGTGAACATATTCGCTCGTATCTATTTTCGCGCCGGTTGCTTCTCAAAGAGTTGTGTTTTTAATTTGTAAAAGTGACCTTGACCTTGATCTACTTCTGCCATGTAATGTGCCTGACCTCGTTACCAGTATTATCAGCTACTATCGCCCGCTCATTACAATAAAGATACAATATTATTCAATGCGATATTTCATAGAAAACATTGAATGTTATATTTTAACACCTCGCTTCCACTCGAAGCGGCTACACTACAACGCAGTAGCGTTCGGATAAGATTGAAACGGAATCGGGAATTCCTATTTTAAATTGACTTAAAACTGACAGCCCACACACTTAAAACTTCTAGTAAGAGATAACACGAAAGTATAGAAAAAATAACGTTTAAACATGTATAGACAGTGAATGGAAACCACAAATGTGCTGGTGGTATTAGTCATGATAAAGTAAATTAGTCGTGCTTCACATAATATCCGGCTAAAACAAATAGCTTCGTAAAATGTATATGAAAGTGTCGTTGAGAAAATAATTAAACGATAGCGTGGGACAGAAGTGTGACGCGATTGCGCTGGTGTTAGGCTGATGAAAAATTACAAAATAGCGCCGCATTAATCGAGGTGACACAAAGGAACTGAACGCAGCAACGAAAGGTTGTACGTAGTGACGTAATATAAATTGTTTGATCTGTATCCGGACGGTTTAGCGTCGTTTTCACGAAGTAAAGCCTTTGTAATGAAAAATTGGATTTCATACGTATTTCCGCTTTGTAATACCTGTAACTTCGGTGCTTTACGAATATTTGCTTTTCGCCGCATTCTAGATAATATCATACATTGTCTGTATTTTACGCGCGTAGTACACATTTCAATAAAACACTTAACGGTTTAAAACGCGAAATTTTAGTCCCCCCGTAACCACAGCAAAACAAAACGTCGACTACCAAAATAAATTAAACAAAAGTTAGCTAATTCACGTTTTAAGCCGTTAAAAGTGTTCTATTTAAGTTATTTCTATAATATTCAAAACGTGGTTATAAATACCAGCAAACACACTTTAGTTACCGTTCTTCGCTCATATTATTAAAGCTATTTCCTCGCAATTTAAACTAATTCATTTAACGTGCGGCCAATCAGCAGACCGAAAATGTAGGCTAATTTGCAGCAATATTTACAGAGATATATTTTTACATACTGATAAGGGAAAGAAAAGTATAAAACCAGTTTAATCAAATTGTGTCAAGGGACGACCGTGTAAACCAGTTTTTGACAAATGTGTAGACGATATATATCGTTACGTTACGGCGATGTAGAGAATGTTCACATACATATTTCTCTACCTACAGCGACTAAATTAAATACTGTCGTGACTCCAGTTGGAATCCAGTTTAGTAAAATCAATACTATAATAGAACTCAAAGGCCAAATTCTTATTAGCGTTCTAAAACTCTATTCATAAGCTGCTTTAACTAATGTTAAAATCATTTAATTCAAAATATATTTACTTGATTGATGTACCGTGTCAATTAGAGCAGCACGGAATGCTGTGGATGTCAGTTGACCCGCCGTGTCGTTTTTTAAACCTACATAGATCGATTGTTTGGGCAGCACGAAACGTGAAGGCGGTCCAGTCCCGCCCGTGTTATTGAGACCTAAAATTGTTTAATTTAATCTTCGTCCCTGGTCGATATTGAAGGAGTGTGGTTCGTTCGAGTCCCGCTCGCTGTTGCGATTTTTTACATGTGTAAAGTTTTTAATCGAAAGTGTCGAATCGAGTTCTCAGTGTACATAAACTCATGAAACAGACTGCAATACGAAGCTGTTGGAATTGCACAGCGGTCGAATCCGTTACGCACGACGTCTCTCTTGAATGCCTTGCAGTGCCCTATAACTTTGTCCTACTCGCACAGAGGCGCGCTGGCTACAATAAAAACTGGTTGTTATTTTTAACTCGTGGGTTGGGCGAGCCGGCAACTCTCTGAAAAGCCCCCTTCCGTTCCAGGCCCGAGGCATTTATTTACAGTTCGTAACAGTGTCGATAACTTGTCTGGTGCGTTATCGTGACCTACGAGTTTTTGGTTGGCATCTGTACCATAAAATACTGTCTGTAGTTTACGCGAGCGGTACACATTCAAATAAAACAAACGGTTTAAAACGCGATATAAATTAGTTACACATGTTTGAATTGAAATTATAGTATTCGCCAAATACCAACTTCGACGGAACAGATTGCGCTAGCGTAGCAGTTTTTTACTTTGACGTCAGAGACAACCCTCCATCTTTAGTCTCTACGTGACCACAACTGCTGCAAAGCATCCGTAACGTGTTCGTTAAATGTTGTAAATTATAGTACAGCCGTCAACCAAAAATTCGTAGGAACGTAACTGCACTATCACAATTCCCTCAAACCGCCTTTGTAGCAAAGTTAACATGTCACCTAGCATTGTGTTTAGCGAGACCTAGGTTCGTATACCGGGGAAACTATAGATAAACAACCTACGGGTACAGTAGTCTGATTACCTGAATTTATGGATTTCGCTTAATAACATCACATAGCAAGTCTGATCGAATTTTAACCCTTTAAAATGAACTGATGTTAAAGTTACACTATGAGACTATTCTTTAGATTTTGTAAAGAACAATTTTGTGCGTAAGAGATTGGATCTAACATAAGGACTAGTTAGTTATCGCAACATAATTACAATCTATTAATAATTCTTACCGGAGCAGGATACTCAAATGTGTTTTAAACATTTTTTTAATAAAAAAAAGTTTGTCAAACTGTTCATCTCTTATTACAAATCTTTGTTCTATAGCTCATGGCTTATTTAAATATTATAAGTTATTTCTAGGTCTCAAAAGCAAGGGGCAAAAGAAACGTGTGAACTTCGCAGCTCCCTTTCGCGTACCCGTACTTTGTATCCGGTAAACAGCATCGTATGCATCGTGTACTAATTTTAAACAGATGCTCGAATTTACAACTAGCTCTTACCCGTAGCTTTGCTCGCATTATACCAAACAACCTACGTAACACTAAGACGCTCGCATTATACCAAACAACCTACGTAACACTAAGACGATTTTTTGCTTGAATAATACATTAGTTTAAATGAAACACATTTAACGGTTTAAAACGTAAAATGTATTATTATTATTTTGTATGTATAATTTATTGCTCCTCCGTTTCGGATACTTTGCAGCAGCCGTTGTCACGGGTTTAGTTCTTAAAGTATTTGATGTGACTCACTGTGTCTGTCCGTCCGTTACGTAGTTACGCTCACGCGAAAGACAAACAAACACTTTCGAGTGTATAATTTTAATCTGTATGCTCTCATTCTAGAGGCACCCTTTTAGACTTCTCAAAGAATCGGAACGGGCACAAATTGCTGATATCGTGTGAAGCGGCTTCTTGATGCTTTGGAATTTCGCCAAAACAATAAAGTACAGTAGACTTCGCGTGTTATGGGGCCGCTGTCCCAATTTTCGAGAATGTTATTAAAGTTTTATCGGACAACGGTCTAAAATCAATTTGCTTGCGGTGGATGCACATTTCTCGTTATTTCAACATATTATGGCAAAACTAAGGCGTAGGGCCCCAAATACGTTACTGATTGTTTCTGTTGTATTAACATAATATGTCTATATACATCTATGTATATTATAAAGCTAAATGTTCGTTTCGTTTGTGTTTCGCGCTAATCTCAGGAACGACTAGTTCGAATTGAATTGTTTAACGTGTTCAATTTAAATAAAAATAAGAACACAAAATTATTTCGCGTTTATCAAATGTTTTATTTATCTACTCGCGTAAAGAGACAATAATGTTATTTAATTTATACAATTTTAATCAAAATATAGATCGGACCGTCAGATTTTTTCTCGCTACAACGGCCCAGTATATTGAAACATGAATAAAACTCCCTCAACACCATAGAACAGGAAGACCACTTATCTTAAGGTTCATGCTCTCTTGAAAGTAACTCTTATCTACAACTGATAAGAAATTGTACCAAATGTGTAGGCACCTAATTTTATACTAGTCTACGGATATAGTAAACAACGCATCATATTCATCGGAATGTGTTATAGCTGCGCCCGCGCTTCTTTATTGTGTGAAATCCCGTTTCCTCCTCGTTGGGCATGGGGCGAACACATTTCTGTGTCCGTTACACTGATCCGTTATTAGTTACAGCGACATACTACAGTCCATAATATTTTCAGATAAATTAGCTAACACTGAGAGAATATTCGTTGTCGAAAGTGTTTAAGTCAGAAATATTTTCGTGGAGTAACTGGGGTTCAAACCTCCGATCCGATAATACAATGTGATGTGAATGATATTAATAGCACGGCTTTATTTTGAAAACTTAACCACGTAGGCGACGGTCACTATATTTATTTTCTTGTTGCTGTTATATGCAACTAGCTGTGGTAGCGACTTTGTCCGGGCAAAGTAGTTATTTTGGGCATCCAAATTTGCTTTTGCAAACCTCCTCATCATCTGTATTAATTTGAGCTGTTACCCTCGGTGTTGTTTGCGTCCCGTCGTTCTTGCAAGTTAATCTTAAAAGATAGACATATACTGCCGCAGACATTTTTTCAGATCATTGAAAGAGAATTAATTCTTTTCTACACATTGTTTGATAATCTCGATCGAACCCTTTGAGATGAATAATTTTGCGCCGTTTTTTTTCGACATTTCCCGTTGTGTCTTCGCTCATATTTGTCACAGAGTAATGTTTCATAGCACAAACCTTCCCCGATAAATGCACTAAATAACACAATTCTTCAATGGGAACCAGTAGTTCCTGAGATTGGTGCGTTCAAACGAATAAACTCTTCAGCTGGATATATTATTATAGGGACCTACTTACTCGTTTCAGCAAAACTTATTCTACCAATTAGGTAACTATTATTAATAGTTAATTACGTGAGAAAATTTTCATTAATCTGAAACGTGCAACTAAAAGAATCTAGGTCAGTGTTATATGTATGGATTATGCTGTCATTATTTTTCACTGTTATAAATTTTGAATGCTATACATGTCAATTGTGTCGACATTTAATTAAAACACTAACGGTTTAAAACGCGATGCAGTAGCGTAGTTAAACTTACTCTAACTACGGCCCAACATTTCAGTTGCTTCGAAGCAGTCCTGGTCACGGGGGCACATTAATAAGTTACTCGTCTCCACGTTTTGATGTTTGATTTAAATTTAATCTTTTTTATTTTAAAGTTCGATAAAACTAAGCTTTAATTTACAGACATCGTTTAAACAGCATAATACAAAGAATCTTATAAATTCGCAGACACGACAAGCAGAAAAAAACATGCCAAAATCATTTTATTTAATGACATTGTTCCCTTCAGTAGTCATAGTTGCAGTTCTCTCTATATCAATATGAATAAGAATTTTCAATATTGGTAATGAATATATATTTTTTATTACAGCTGTTCGAGCGGACCGCATGCGAGGCGGTCGCAATAAGTTCGGACCAATGTACAAACGAGATCGCGCCAGAAAACTGCAAATGATGAGGCAGAGGCAGATCGCTGTTCAGACCCTCCGCGGCTCACTTGGCGACGGCGGCCTGGTCCTCGGATTCAGCTCGCCTTACGCCTCAGTGCCCGTGAAGCAAGAGATCCAGATACCGCAAGTCTCTTCGTTGACGTCATCGCCTGAATCCTCACCAGGACCGGCGCTATTGGCTGCGCAGCCGCAAGCGCCCCAAGTGCCGCCGCCGCCCGCGCACGACAAGTGGGACGCCCATTCCCCCCATTCCGCCTCGCCGGACGCTTTCGCCTTCGACAATTCCGCAACAGCAGCCGCCACACCGTCCAGCACGGCCGAGGCCACCAGCACAGAGACCCTCAGGGTGTCACCGATGATCAGGGAGTTCGTCCAGACGATCGACGATAGAGAGTGGCAAAACTCGCTCTTCGGCCTCCTCCAGAGCCAGACGTACAACCAGTGCGAAGTGGACCTGTTCGAGCTGATGTGCAAAGTGCTCGATCAAAACCTGTTCTCGCAAGTTGACTGGGCGAGGAACACGGTGTTCTTTAAGTATTTAAAGGTGAATTTCAAGATAAGTATATCGATCCTATCCCCGAATCCCTTCAGTCCAAATCCGGTGTACACCATGCTTGCGAACGCTGTTCGAGCTGTTGCGACTTTTAATTTTGTAATTTAGCACTGCGAAAGATTTCCCATTGATTGTTGGTACAGGGCTCTGGTATGGTAAGTAGGAGCGCGTGTGACGCATAGAATGGTGCGGTACCTATGGCAATCGATACGCCGCCGCCCGCCACTCGCCTCAACTAGGTCAAGTTCCCACGACATGCCGCGAACAGCTTTACGACTGCAGTAACGCCCCTAATTACGTTAGCCCTAAGTATAGACCGCTCCCGTCATTCTAACCCGTTTCTAATAGATATTCACTTCCGAATCAGCGGCGTCTAAAATCCATATATGCAGCAGCTTCCGGTGATGCTAAAATATTTATATTTTGTAAGAATCTAACCTATACATGAGCGGCGATCATGAATACGAATGATGTGCGTCCAGTGATCAATTATGCGTGTCGTACGGGAGTTCAATCAATCAGAAAAAGCCAACGGAGGAGCTAGCTGGCGTTCCGTGGTTGCCGTACGCTTACGCAAGACCCGTAACCGGTCACGTGGACGGGCGGCGTTGCCGCGCCGCGCGCCTCTCCCCTCTCGCTCGCGCAGTCGGCCTCAACTTTGCAAGCAGCAATTTTAATTTGTGCTAAATGACGCCGCTTGTTTACGACCCATTCTCAGAATTAGGACGACAGCGTATGTACACGAATCTCGTCCGCGGTATCGCCGTGTTTACGGAAATGGGTTATGTCTTTAATCTCCAAATATTGTAGCCAATAGGTGCGCGGTGGGTTTGTGGCTGTAGCTATGATCTCATTTTACGAGCACGATCCGTGTTATGCGGCGGGCATGATCGATGTTGATGACCCATGCTTTCTCCAGACGGATGTGATGTAACGGTATGGCGTACGGCGCGGCAACGTTGTACTTTCGTCGGCGCACTTGACATAGTGCCCGTGGCCGAGTTGCCGCGAGAAAGCACTTTTTACCGCGCTCGTAACCACTGGTAACCGAGACGTAACTAGTTATGCGGCCTTTCGTTGCTTTCTCTTATGTAACACAGTCACGATTAGTTTAGACTAGACGCACGCCGCAGTCTTCTACACGCAATGACGTCTTCGTGCGTCAATTGACATAAATACGTGACACGGGGTTCCGTAGGATTTTTTCACCTCTATTACTTCGTGCAATTCGTTTGGAGTGTTTCGCCTTTCTATTGCATCGTGCCACATTCTGCCGAGATATTAGCCAAGACTCGGTATCAAAACCACTCGCAATAACAATAACCCCGGCGAATTATACGCTCTACGTATGTTTTATAAAATACCGAGTCATAACTCGCGTCTTACCTTATTTAATTCTGATTTATAACGAAAAACATGTTGGGATTATCGAAAATGTTCATTTGCGTATGACGACAAAGAGCGTTATGTAATTGTTTTGTCGCTTCGGCCCGTTCATAGGGTTATACATTAACACTGTCGGAGGCGTAATATTCTATTTGAATTATTGACGTATTAGTATGGTATCTGGCACTCGGCTTGACGGCGCGACTTTGACCTAGATCATGATCTATTGCCGACGCTCCTACACCTAAATCAGTCTAAAAAGCGAACCGCTCAAAACACCAACGATAAGTTGAATAATCAAGAATCGGTTCTAGATGTAACTGATTGCGAACTCTATGACCTGATCTTGATAGTCATTGAGTAAGTGGTGGTGCAACGTGGTTATAAACTTTAGTTTCGTAAACGCTACTCGTACAGTCCTCAACACAAATGCAATACAAAAGTAGGTCGCCGTGTTCGGCGTTAAGATAACGTAGTTGATTCGCTCCGTACACAGTTTGCGTCACACGAACTCGTCACATGCCATTCCATTTCCCTGTTCTACAAGCATCCGGTGATCAGGGCGGTTCCTTTGTATCGCGAATGTATTAAGAGCCGTTCTGTTTCCGATAGTCAGCCTTCAAAGCCGGCTAGTGCCCGTTTAGCATCGCGCTTTCGTTGTTTGCAGGTGGATGATCAAATGAAGCTGCTGCAACACTCGTGGTCCGATATGCTGGTGCTGGACCACCTGCATCAGAGGATGCACAATGGCCTCCCGGACGAGACGACGCTGCACAACGGTCAGAAGTTCGACCTTCTGTGCCTGGGCCTCCTCGGGGTGCCGTCCCTCGCCGATCACTTCAATGAGCTGCAGAACAAACTCGCGGAGCTTAAGTTCGACGTACCTGACTACATCTGTGTCAAATTCCTACTGCTCCTGAACCCTGGTCAGTATTTTTGTTTATTTGTATTTTTTTTTTGCGTTGTGTTATGCGTTCTGGCGAATGTTTCATTTTTTTTTATTGTGTTCAATTTATGTCGTCTAACGGGATGTGTACAATGTTGATGTTTGTATTTGTTTGAAGAGTAGTTCTCTTGGCATTTCAGACGTGAGGGGTATCGTAAACGTGAAGTGCGTCCGAGATGGTTATCAGACGGTGCAAGCAGCGCTTCTGGACTACACGCTTACCTGTTATCCTACGATACAGGTAACTTTTACAACCAGAAAAATGACATACTGAATCCCAATCATACTCTTAAATACCGTACCACGTAGATTGCAATTCTTTTGGTGTGAAAGCTTTGAAATAAGGTAGATCCTACGATTAAGATAGTGTAAATACGAATAGAAATAGTAAGTAAATAAAAAAAAATATTAATTTATTTAGGTAACCGTACATCTAAAATTTTTATTAAAAACTACCTTTCCAATAATTTTGTAATACCACTTAAGAGGTAAACGTTCCAAATTCAAAAAGGGACGCCATTTTAATTGTAGTAGCCAATCAGTACTATTCCAATTTTGAAAAAATAGATGAACCGAATTACAACTGTTATAATCTCTTGGAATTTTCCATACGACTTCGCTGCTGGGTCAATGAAAAATCACTCAACTATCGCAACATATTCTCGCAGTTGTCACGTATTATTCTTATCAAACCTAAATCTACCTTTTGTAACGGGTTTCGGTTCATCCATACACGAATGCATTAGTCCTTAGGAAATAGGTCGCATAGAATATCTAATACTAACCTCTCCATTGTATGGAAGCGCATATATCAGATACGAATCTAACTACGAAATTGAAAAATTTTCCGATACAAAACACATTGATTTAGACTAATGATTAAATAAGAACTAATGTTAAATAAAATACAATTAAATATTTCGCATAAAACGTGAATAAATCTTTATGGAAGTTTTGTATTAGCGATCCATTTTGGCGTCTTGAATGAACAATGTATTGAGAATTGAATACGTCAGCACTTTAATAACGTCCATCTTACTTGGCCAATTGATCGCAAAGTTCAAACAACGCAGTTGCGAACTAAATTTAGACTTCAATAATTCTGATAAATAAAAACACGAAGTACTAACAAGTATAATTTGAAAAAATACTCACAGCTCATACTAAGTTTTATACATAGAACAATGGGCAAATTTGAATTTGGAACCCATATTCTAAACACTACGTAGTTTACGTACACATTTAAAATAAGCCGCTTTTAAAAAACGGTTTAAAACTAGCTAGGTAGCTAGTTTTAAACCGTTAAAAGTGTTGGAACTAAATTATCATTGCAAAAATAATATAAATCGAATGTATTTCAAACATTTGCAATTGATCTACCAATACAGTAAACAGTACTCGGTATACACCTTGTCGGCGCCGAATGAAAACCTGTGACCCGCTTTAGATTTTGTAATCATATCATTTCTTGCAATTGCCAAGTCATATTGTTCTCTTCTAATTGCATTTACTTACGATAATGCGATTCACAATTTTTATTGTTTACGTATTCAAAAATTATGTATACTTGAAATACAATCGCTATTATACGCACCGTGTGCATAATTATTTGATATCGAGACTATAAAAAACTGATTTATATAACGAAGTTTAGTATCGATCTATTTTTATCAACTCGTTTTTACATAAAAGTGACTGTGAACTTGGGGAAGGGAAAAGATGCGTTTTTAATACCAATTACAAAGGAATGTTACAAGTAGTTTACCCTAATTATTATATTCTTTACTCTAGACGACTACAAAGTACGGTTATATAAAAATATTAACTTCAATTAAAATTTGATGCTTTGAAAAGACTGAGAGCTAGACCCACGCACTAATAAGTGGTGAAACATATTTTTGTAATTAAAAAATATTATAAACTGAACTTAAGTCTCTTAAGATCAATAAACATTTAAGAATTTATCAACTTAAATTCTAAAGCTGAGTCGGTTTAAAACATGTTGTAATTTTTAGCCCTGATGTAAACGTTCTATTAATAAATATGTATTGTATTAATTTTGTCAGTTATGTTAATTGCACTAAAACATTTTCAGGATAAATTTGGAAAATTAGTAATGGTCGTGCCTGAGATTCACGCGCTTGCAGCCAGAGGCGAAGAGCATCTATACCAGCGGCATTGCGCTGGCCAGGCCCCAACACAGACTCTACTTATGGAAATGCTACACGCTAAACGCAAGTATGTATTCACTTATTACTGAAAAATATACGAGGTTTTACTATCACTCAATAGAAAAACGTTACATTTGATCAGAACTATGAAAGCAGTTAATCCGCTTAGTCTGAAATCCATCGAACTAAATTCGTTAGTCACAAAAAGTTACATCGAACGAAAAATCGTTAGCCGTTCGAGCTGGTTGATTGAATTCGATATTCTGTTAAAAGCATAGCTTTTTTCATGTCAGAACCCGTAAAATCCAATTTAGTTTCAAATAAAACAATAAGTCAGTAATACACGTAGTATTACTGACACTTTTATCAATTAAATGACATATTAAAATGTCTAAACTATTTTTAATATTATATTAACTTAGTATAATCTTTTGATTATCAGTTTGTATACAGAGATTTAAGAAATTCCAAGAAATATACTTACGAGTACTAATGACTAGTTTCGTTGCTAGGCAACATACTATGTCTCGTTTTAAATTATGTATTTTCATCTGACGTGAATTTGCCGCCATAATTATTTGACATTCCAATTTTATTTTAAAAATTTCGCACTAAAAAAAGGTTAGGTTTTATATATCATTTGGTCTCGTTATGATTTTCATCTGACGTTAGCTTGTCGCCAAAATTATTTGACATTAAAATTTTATTTTTAAAATTTCGCGCTAAAAATAGGTTAGGTTTTATATATTATTTTAAGCCTTGTTTCAGTTATACAGTTGGCTTGAGAGTTTAGACTTTTCTTTATAAGTGTTTACGCGTAGGTCTAATCAAAACATGGTGAGATTTGCAATAATATTCTCATTCTAGGCCAAACGGAGGCGAAATGGTTAACCGGAATGCTGAGCACACGTCGACTCTAGACCGATTGTACGTTACCCATATATTAACTTATCTTATTTATATATTCATTCATTTTGTAGTATATCCATTATTTATATGAAACCAGATGTTATCGATATTGCTATATTTTCTGTACGGACACATAATCTCAATTTTATCGTTTCTATAATTATTTCTAAATTTACAATATCTCATCAATAAAGTACATACTCCAGTCTAAAGTTTTAAAGTAACCTATCGATAACATTTGCATACATTACACGATCTATTTTAATATAATCATATCTAGATTTTCTATTCACGATTGCAAGATGTTTCGAATCGAAAACAGACTTCAAAAGAAGTCTGATTGCTTGCACTATTAGATCATTTACTAGATCATAACTAATTGTGTAATACAAATCCTAGACTAACCAGCAGTAGGGAGCAATGGTTATTCAATTGAACGTATGTGTAGTCGCCTTTTTAACTTAGGATAATTGATTCAAATTAATTCAACATTTGGTCACAATGTTAATTTTTCTCATTATTCGCTATATAAGTAAGATTATAGGCCGCCAGCATTTTGAGAAATTTTCGATTCCGATTTCTTGCATTGTAAATAAATAATCTATATAAAATATAATATGTAAAATGATCCTTCAATTAGTTTACCGAATCACACATTTATATACAACACTATAAAGATTTAAAACGCGAAGTGTATTAGTTAACTTATTTATAATTTATTTTATCTATCCACATCTTAATTGAACTGATTTCGCGTTTTAATCCGTTAAAAGTGTTTTTAAATATATACATTTCGCAGCTTTATTCATTCTTGTAATTATATAAGTAGTTATTTCTATTAATATCGAAATCCCACAGAATGTTTTACTTTAATATTTGTGTGTATGTCTATGTAATATCAGGAAGTATTCATTTAATAGGCATTCAGGTCGTAGCGTCGTATGGGCAGCATTTTTTTTAGGATTTTTTTGTCTTTTGAGTCTAATACAAGAGAATTGACGGTCTTAAATTTTACTTTCAAATGTATAATTGTGGATAAAATTTTTTTGGGTGCTTGCTTGTTGTAAGCGAAGAAACTATATTTTTCTAAACCATACGTAGTCATCGTGAATAAAAACTCCGTTATTTGGGTCGTGTCGAAGAATACATAAATGAGATTAGTGGGACGCGTCGATCTCTGCACTTAGGCCTCGCCCTAAATTCAGTCATTTCAATACTCTGCAATAAATTTGCATACCATTCAAATGTTGCAAAATGTTGTGACGAAACCTAGTTACTTGCTATTTTCATTAAACGATATATTAAGCAAAACTCAAGAAACTAGGCCAGAGTGTAATACATAAATTATTTTTATTTTAATACTAGATAAAAAATTGGAGGGCAAATTTATGATCCACATATTAAAATATAATAGTCAGAACATCGATCTATTTATTAAAATTCAACGAGCTATTGGGTTAGTAACAATTTCACATTCCGCGAGAGGTGCGTGTATCAATAAGTCTGAATTCGACTATGACGTGTAGGACTCGGTAGCTCAATCGGTTAGTGCACAAAACGCTGTTGATGCCGGTTCAAGTCCAGCCCGAATTATGAATGCCCGAATATTGTTAGTCACTTAGAAATAAAATACAACAGGTGGGTCGTAAGGGGGACGTGGGGGTGGGGGAAGTGGCGTAAATTACTAATACATAGTTACAAAATAATATGTATAAACTGAAAACAAATGAGCCTCCAATTTAATCAGCCTTGATGGATGCCCTAATTTCTTATACGGAAGAAACCGTACAATATTGCGTTCTTAGCCGTAATTTTTCGTTACATAGAGATACAGCATATCTCATATATAGCACTAGCTACTGTTTCATTTAAATAAAACACTAACGGTTTGAAACTACGGCCGGACGTTTCGAATGCTGTGCAGCAGCCGTGGTCACGGGGAGAAGTACAAAGTTTTTTATTTAAATGTGTACTACTCGCGTAAACTACAAACACTATTTAATTACTATTAATTATTAAGTTAGTTTTACGAAACCTTAGCCTTTTACAAAACATTGAAAACAAACGCAAAACGCTGCCCTTTAAGTTTGTAGATAGGTATATAAATAAAACACTTAAATGGTTTAAAACGCGATATATTTTAGTTTTAAACCGTTAGTGTTTCATTTAAATGAGTACCACTCGCGTAAACTACAGACAGTATTGGTAGATGGGTAGTTAAGATACATTATTGATAAGGGAAAAAGAGCTAGAACAATAATTTTAGGTTGACGTATGATTTTGTTTATGTCAGGTGCGGTTTCCTGCCAAATGACACGATTGAGTCGCATTCTCCTATATAGTAAGCATTGAATATTGTCTAAAGACGGCACCTTCTTGCACTGTACTTAATATAGCACGCTCACAAAATGCACTAACTTTGTACATATGCGGCTCAAACGTACACTGCACTGTAACATATAACATCATAGACGCTTGGACCTTAACAGCACCCTAACAAGGAGGTTTTCTTTCGCTACAGATTCAATAATAATTTTAGCATGGCACAGAAAATGGGTTTTAGGATTTTCCCTCGTTATTGTGACATTTGATCCTCCCTCCCCTAACGTAACTAAGTCAGGACATCTCCTACCATGACGTATATCTAAAGCCGAAATAGGTCGACAGCGTATCTTAGTTATGCCTGGGCTATTTCACCCATTAAGGGAACCCCAGCTTGTCTGTCCCCTATGTTAAAAAAAATCATGTGAGTTGGTCCCTTATCGTGTCGACTAAAACCAATTTTTCGTATACTGTCGTTTTGTTTTTTAATAAACTTATGTTTATACGATACGTGAAACGCAACAAATAGAAGCCATTAAGAGCACCTGGCTTATTTAATAGATTTGCACGCTAAATCTAAGTTCTTTGGGTTACATCACGTGACCTGGCATACAAGTAATGTACCGCCACTGCTAGGCGGCGCAAGAGCTCGCGTGGACGAGGAAATTAGGGTTCGCTTAAATCCTTTTTTCCAGACAAGAAAACGTTTACTTATAGTATCCGAATTATAGGTTAACTAATATATTAGTAAAGGACAAAAGAACAGACTTTTGTGGGTTTTGGAATTCTTCCACTAGCTGAAGTAATGCTTTACACCTTCTAAGCCTTCATTGGATTCAGAAACTTCGACCATAAAAGATGAATTAATATATTCAATAAAACTTTGTCGCCGAATCCTATCGCTGCCACTGTATTTTAGAATCTAAAAACTAGTTCCCCAAGTAACCGCTAGGGGCGCTTTCACGTCCTTTATAATATATAGCGAGTAAAACGCACGGGTTTGTTGTTAGAGATCCCTATCTGTGACTGGAACGATAACAGTAGGTAAGGTAAAAATTATATTCTTATTATACTAAGTGTTAATTTTATTGTTTTCAGATCTTGAAACACCAGTGTAGAGGAGCAGGTCATCTCCGTGGTCGAGTCTCCTCCAGCAGCAAATGAATTAGCTACTACAAAATATTACTTATTATTAATTTAGATTTAGTTGGTACATTGGTGTGTGTAAACATGTAAGTTATTTGCCGAGCGCCGGCCGACCGCCGCGCACCTAGTCCCAATACAGATAAAAAAATTAATTATCTGCCTAATCTCTGTAACATATGCAAAATATTTAACAGCTGCGTAGCTATATCTTCTATTTATTGACCAGTCTATATATCGCTGTATCAAAATTATGTAAGTACCGTTTTATGTAAGCTTGTCTTAATTCCGGTGCGGAGGGAAGGGAAAATATTAATATACATATTTTAGGAAAACGTCTGTGATTTTTAACGAAAATTGATGAACCATTATATGTTAGTTGTGTGATGTGTAAATGTTAGTCTTAACGCTTAATACCTGACCGGGGCGGCGACTCCCGCCCGCCCCGCACTTCACCTTACTTATTAATGTAACTATACATTATTATATTATAGAATACACATTAATGATCGTTTATAAGATAGAGCACAGCGCGTTTCCGTGTTCTAGATGATGTTTTGAATTGTTGAAGCGGTGTTTCGTGTTGATAATAATTGTCTAATGTAGTTATTTGGCTGAAGATAATTCAGATTATTAAGAGTTTATATTTAAAATAAATAAAAATCTCTACGTATTATCACTTTGACTTATAATAAGATCATTATTCGAATCATTTTAAAGTCTACATTGTTCATGAAATGTTTTTAAATCTAATCTAAATGTTGTATAAAATTTATAAAATATATATAAATATATATATTATAATGAAAGTTATCGGCCGTACCAGTACAAATGTGTATGTAATTATTATACCTAATCTTTGTAAATATAAAAATAGCACATAACAGTGATTTACGCTACATGTATTGTAATTATGTAAAATATTTCTCAACATACGTGCAAAAAGCCTTAAAAATCATAGATTTTTAAAATAAAGATGGGTACTAGCGTCAAATGGCCTGCGGCCGAGGAGACAATGTATTTTTATAAAGCATATTGTTCTTTATTAACATATATGATATGTTAACTGAAAGTACATTATTTCGTATTTTTCTAACATAGTGTAATGTAATCAAAAACGATCAACTTTAAAAGTGGAAATGGATATTGTATTTAATTATAAATAAACCGTTATCATTTCGTGTGATATCTGTCCTATATTATGTGCGTTACAAATATGATTTGAAAACGTTTTATTTTTGTAATGGCTCGTTTGGCCCACTCGCGGGGCTGCTTCCTCGCTTTCAGTGTTCTGGGACATTTAAGGCGTTAGGCAGCTCTGCGTTACGCGATCGACGCTCTTTGTAAATTCGTTAATTCTTTCTTATATATTGCACCAAGTGCATCTACGTACACCACATCAACAAGAGAAGTACACAATTAGAATATTATTGAGAGGAAATCTGTTTTATCTTTTTCTGGTGGCTCTTACCAACGCTTTTATATATAGTTAGGAATGTTAATCACCGTGTTTTCTATATACCGTCCAGTGAAATGAAATTTAATATTCACAAATATCTCGGTACCCCGTCAATTGTTAAGGAATTACTCTATAATTTGACGTTCATTGCTGTTTGGTACATTGAACGGGTTCTTTCCGTCTGTAGAAATCGTACAGTAGACTTAGTCACAACCAAACGATGTTCCTTAGAGCCGTGGTAATTCAACGCCGTTCTGTTACTTCCGGAAGTATATTCCATTGGAACGATTATTTCCGATTTTACAAATGTTTTATATAGGCGACGGAAATTAGATGAAATTGTGGTAGCCCCGCTGTATTTACCAAACCTCAGTTTCATTATTCTACTTGATACATGCATTGGAATTTTAATAGTTTTTATATTCAATGTATATATAAATCCTTATTATTTGTATACGTTGAAAGAAGTATCACATTGTTAAACTCGTGTTTCGAAGGCAAAGCTGATCTGTGATGGTATGAAATAGTTAGGGCATTGTAGGCTGTGGGTCTTTACATACTGGGCAACGACATAGGTTTCTCTCGACCCTTCGAAGGTAACTTGACGCGTCAAAAACATCACTTAACCGCGTGTCCTTTCAATAATTCTCCTCGCATCGATATCGTGCGTTGCACGCGTTACCATTTTTGCAGTATTTTAATTATATGTACATAATTTTAATATTTTAACAACCGACAATCACATCGATCGATACAAATATACGTTCGGAGAAATCAACGTACCTAATGAATTGTTATTTATAAATTGATCTATTTTCAGTATTTTATTGTATATAGTCATATATATTATTTAAATTGTATATTGCAATTAAACTATTCTCGGTGTACTGTTAGCGTCAGTCTGTGCCATCAGTTGTATACAGGGTACGTTGTATCAAGTGTAAAATTTAACGAGATTGACACGCATCACATGTGACGATTTTTTGTTCGGAATATATTTAGACAATAACTGTTCATTCAAATTTCTATGACACAATCCGATCGCCACTTTCAACCGCTTTACTTTTATTCGATTATTATGATTTTAATATTTAATCGCTATATAATAGATAATAAATAGTTTATGCTTATAATGTTAAACTACTATTTACGTCTAAGTTAGGTTGTACGTACAACGCGATGTTGTATCTAGTGTTTTTGTAAGTAATATAATATGGATAATCGTTAAGTGTTTTATAACGACGAGCGACACGTCACGTGTCTCTCGATCTATGTAAATTTTGAGTTTCGAAGACGCGAGGAAATAGATAGATATATACCAAATAGGCGTTGGTAAATCGCGAAGCGGCCTGACGCGGCGTGGTGCGGTACGGTTCGTCACGCGATTTCCGGGTACAAAGGTTAAAGGGATGGGGGGCTGTTTTTTCGCTCAGATTCGTTCGCTGTTGGTGACCCGACCTCACCGGCGCCTGCCGCAGCGGGCTCCAGTCGGCCACAGTACACCAAATCAACAGTAACTCACGCTAACATCACGCTAAACACCAGAGTTACTGCTTGACTGTTTGCTCTAAATTTTGTGTCCGTCGGTGGGCCTCCATTCTGTTAGGTTGACTGTGTTGGCTGTATCGGCGAGTCGGCTGTTCCTTCGTCCCAATTCAAGCGTTTCACAATGACACGATTTATATAGTGGCTAGGAGGCTTTCTGTTACCAGACCGTGCAGTCTAACGGTTAAGTTGGGACGAAGAACACGTCTATTACAAGTCGTAACACCCAGCCATTCTCAATACGGCTGAACGGATCGGACGTCACACATTCCAAAATAACACTAATCTTATACATACAACGTGTCAACACGTGTTACAATATGTAAGTTAACCACTTTGTTGTTCATTAATGGTAAGTTAGTTTTAATCTCAGTCGATGTTGTTTAATTTAGTTTGTGTATAGTATTTTCGATTAAGTTTAAAATGTGAGGACGACGTGAATTTGAGCGAATCGACAGGCCTAAGCCTCGGTTCATAGATGTAAATTTTAAATACCTAAGTGAATTTTTTCTGTTGCACCTAATGTACTTTTTTTCGCGAACCGTATATACAGGAGGGTATGAAGGTGCGCGCACGACCCATTCGCAGTCGCCTTGAATTGGCTCCATCGCTTTTCAAACGCGCCAACGCATTCTCCTGTATATCTTTGTACATATAGATAGGTCGAGGTACAGATAATTAAATTGTTATATATTATTTCGGCTAGACACCACGCATTAATCGCATTTGCCGTTTAAACTTACCTGATGGATAGATAGTGAAATTTTAGATCGCGGTTACTTAACTTTACATAATTTTCAAAATGTTAAAGTCATACGCTTTCGGCTTTCGAATATATTTTGTACATCACGGTTCATCACGTTTTTGTATTTAATTAATTTAAGGATTATGTGCAGCCGCCGTATGTTTTAGGGTGCTCCTTTATTTTATTCACGTTTTGATCACTTAACTAATGTTGACGAGGTTCCATTTATTTGTTTAGACTAAAATGGATCTGTACCATTGCTGTCTCAGTATAAGAAGTCGATGTACCTTTTCATAATGACTATAAAGTTATAGAAGGGAGCACTCAAAAAAATTACCATGTTCATTACCTCATATTTTGTACATTCTAAATCTTTATATATTTCGAGAACTTTGTCTACGTTTCGGGGTGTTAAGTTTAAAACAGCAAACACGAGATCTATGTTATATAGATGTCCTTAGATACATAAATGTGTAACGTGGCGGTAACTACGTCCGCGCTATCAGTCTATTTATTTTCATGGTGTTTAATAAATATTGTGAGACGCACGACGCGTCGACGGTACCTGTCTACCGGCGGCCGTTACTGTAGAAATAAATAATATTTTCGTTTAAATTGACTTTTCTTTCGTTCTTACTTCGAAATCTGAATTTGGTGTCTTTTAATATAGGCTTCAAAAAGTTATAGTTATATAGTTTTCGTAAAGGCCGACCTCATTTCGAATTATTGCAGAATTATCCTTGAATTCAATGTATATAAATTGTATTATACTTTATTATAAATTTGTCCCTACATCTAATGTTATATCCTACCCCTTTTATATCTAGGAATAAGTTATTTTTATTTATTGTGAGTTGATCCGTCTAATTAAAGATACTGTATTATTTTTGACGTGCGAATAAATGTAAGTATATACATTTAGTAGGATTATATTTGGCTAAAAGGTATAAAAAAGCTAGAGATTCTTCACAAAGTTTGATTTGATTTTTTTTAAACCTCGGCATAGTGCACTTATTATGGGTGAAACATTCGCGTCAGGTCCTGACCTGACCAAATTTCCGTAAGACAGAGAGAGATTGCAGTATAGTACTTTGTTAATTAAAGTAATTAGTGCAAAATTATTCCCTAAGTATTTCGGAATATCAATAATTCACGTTAGTTGGTTTTTACTTCTGGCCTAAAATGCAACCTGATTTTTTCTTACCATAATTTCATCATCAATAAAACATTGATTTTTTAAGGATATACAAGCATGTTGTACACTTGATGGTAGGTAAAATGCTCCAGCCATTATATAACATCTACAAGACGCGAATCAACAGACTGAAGCCGAAATGCAATCAAACTTCACGGCCTCAAATATATTTCAGAAATATTATGAATTGCTTAGAAAGATGTTGGGACCCGCTGGGGATCGAACCCGTTTAGCCATACATTGTTACCTTTATACTGACGAACCCGTCAAATAATTCTTTGTTTATGCCTTTCTTTAGGTCAAGTATAACTAGCGGCACGGATCTATAGCGCAGAATGAATCCTGCGCAGAAGTCAAAAATAAGGTATCGAAGGGACGGCGGGCGCGGGGTGAGTGAACGTCATGTGCGTTGATTGGTTCCCCAGTCGTGTTGTCGCTCTGCTTGCTTCTCGAGTAGTCAAATTTTCCAATCAATTACGTGCGCGATGGTATAGACGCGCAAATAGCTATATTCATTCAGCGCTAAGCTTCCGTGCCGCTACCTATAGTGTAAATAAAACAACTGGTTTCATAAAAGCTTTGTGTTTACTTTATAAAATTGCTTATATCCTATGAATTCATTTATCCATTTAAATAATTCAAAATTAATTGATGGCATCAATATTGACCTGATAAATAAAGTTTTACACGATTTAGATTTTAGGAACTTTGAACATTAAATCATAAATAATACTCGATCGCCTCTCACCTATGTATATCATCCAATTACACAATACTACATAAAATACCTCAGAATTGAAGGCACGAAATTTGGGGTCTTTCGCAATTTTTTTTCTTTATAATTCGATACAATTACAATTTCTGCTGTGTACGTCAGTCTTAAATTCTAACTAATCTGACTTTTCTACATATGTATTTCCTAATTTCAAAATTTAACGGATTTATTAATGAATATTTATCTGACATACTCATAACTATTTATATGTTTTGACATATTCCTTAATTTTATTACACATGCAATGGCTCTATAAACGCTGTGTCTTTTAAATGCAATAAATATTTTTATAATTACTTTTACAGGCTGTTAATGTATTCAAAACTTGGCTTCCAATCAATAATATTATATATGTTAAATTTTTAAACACGTTTTGAAGTTTGAGCCGTAAGCCAAAGTTAAAAAGCTACTTAGATTAAAGAAAATACGACACGACACGACACGCAGCAGCACGACACGATCCATACCGTTTCGTGCTGCTGCTCTAACCAATTGAGCACAGTAGCCCAATTGGTTAGGGCGCGGTAGCTCAATGCGTTAGAGCACGGTAGCTCAATTGGTTAGAGTACGCTAGCTCAATTGGTTACAACAGTAGAACGGAACCGTATAGATGCCCGCCGGCGTCGTAAATTTTCTTTAATTTTTAATTATAATGCCGACATGTGCAACACGTGAAATATATTAAAGTTTTCAAACGTAAGCCTAAACTTCAACGCAAAAGTTCTGTATGTATTTCAAAGGTATTAAAATAAAATGTTCGAAAACTTCGACCATAAAACTGGCTTGCAATTACCTCTAACTTTTAAAATATCAGCGAATAACTTTTTAACAAATAAGTTACTCCATGGCTCGCATGTGTCAGATACCAATAAGTTAACTACAAATGCACCAAGCAACAGAGTTCAACACAACAACATAAAACCATACTGTTGTACCATCGGAATGCTTTTAAATTTTCAATAAACATACATTCTACAGATTAGACACCACAAATAGAACGATACATTTGCACCAAAGGATACAAAATACATCGTGGTCGTACAACGCTAGAAAAAGTCCTATTAAATTCTACAACACATAATAGCACCACTGATTTTAGCGCTGAGGACCGGAATTCACCTAATCTTACTTATCCTAAGGTTGTATAATAAAAAATCACTAAAGTGCATTGTACCTCACGCGGCATCGTTTATGATACCGACTATAGCGGTCTTAGTGCCAAGGATGAGAGCAAACATACCGAAGAGAAAGATTAACGCGTTCTTCCATAGAAGATATTTAAAGGGACCGTAGCCAATGTCCGCGTAGGTAATCACTTCGATAAAGGCCGGGGCTATTAATCCAAGGAGGGAGAAGCAGAAGGCACCGATCACGCCCATAAGCGGTCCGATAGATGGTACAGCGATGGCCAGGAACACGCAGAGTGTGACCATGATGGTACGCATAACGTAGTCGGCGAAATCTGGCCGCTTCGTGAACTTCTCCTTGATGGCGTTCCACATGATTTCGATGCACACGAAGAATTGGAGTCCAAAGGTGCAGTATACAGCAATCGCAATGCTCACCTTCACAACTTGGGCGAGGCTGGAAAATAAAACAACATAAATAAACACTGAAGTACAGGGTTTGAATACTGAAGAAAACAATTTTTTTCATGGAGCGGTTGTTTCATAGAATATCTAGTAAATATTTATATCAGTGAAACAGGCAGTCAAATAAATTATTGTCTTATTATTTATGAATATAAAGTGTAAGCGCCTTAGTCACGTGACCTTTTTTTAGATTTTTAAACAACCCCCCTCCCCCATACGTAGTGAGGTCTAAGACCACCCCCTCTCCCCCTACTGATCATCACGTGTATTTTTACTACCTACAAAGAATCATAAAATTTTCTGAATATTATCTTAATTTAAATACAGGTATAAACTATAATCTTATTTTATTCTGAAATTAAGGACCATAATAAAAATGTCTACACCATTGTGTTTAAAAATAGGGCGTTTGACGAAAAAAATAAGTACACGAGATATCTACTACACCCCCCCCCCCCCTGTGTTTTTTTCGTGATTTTTATCAAACCCCTCCCCCTTTCAAGCCTCTTGTGATTAATGGACAACCCCTTAATAGTTATATGCTAGTAGTGCAGAGTTTGAATCCTAAAGCTCTTTTTTATGTAGGCTGATAACATTTACTATACATCTCTGAAACAGACAGTCAAAATACAATCTTATTCTTTAAGAATACAATATGTATGCGGTATAGTTCAATGTATTGTGGTTAATGCGAGAAGTACTAAGTTTGAATCCTGGGAAAACGATGCATGCGAGGTGACTACAGAAGTCTGTATATATTTACAGTAAATTCTTTAACATTACCAATAAAATTTATCAGCACTTTAGCAAATCTAGATTAAATTGATATGCATGGTGTGAGATAAAAGCTTTAAAAACTTCTTCATGTGAAATTCAAGTCTTTATCAGTAGCAAAGTCATGATGTGGTAGCATAATTTCTAAAGCAGATAAAAAACCAATACTTACATTTCATAAACTTTAGGATCGTTGGGGTGTGGTTCCAAGTTGAGGGTAATAGAATCCATGACATCTTCACCAAAGCGCAGATATCCAAGGAATCCGAGGAGGATATAGACAACGGTCACACCAGACATTCCCTTGTTCAGAACACCGCAGTAACCAAGCAGGGCTCTTGGTGTCTTCATAGAGTTTTCCAAAGGCATCACCACACCGATAGCTTCCATCGCAAATATAGTGAGGGAGAAGAACTCTGGCCATTCTAAATGTGGCTTGATCAGTGCTACCTTGCCAATATTCAGTTCACCAGTACCAACCAAGAAGTAGAAGGTAATTCCGAGACCAAGACCCATGAACAAATTGGCTATCATAGACACAGGGGCGAGATATTTCAGGTTCTTTATCCAGACCATGAATATAAGCGGTATGAGAAGAATCGTGATGATAATACGTATGTTGAGAACATTTTCGTTGTCTGGTACATAGTGCTTCACCACCTGGAACATAAGAAGTCATATTAATAATATTACAACGTTGCTAGCATATTATAATTTCTTAATTATTGAGTTTACAAATAAACTTTAAAACATATCAAGATGTGTGAAGTGTCGTTCTTACACAGCTTTACAATTTCGACACTTGTGGCGCTAGTTAGAATCTTTGCCTCGCCAAATGCTTGCTTAATTATATGTCAATTGTCATTTATCAAAACAGACAATAACAACCATAAACACTTCACCACAGATTCCTATAGAGGATCAAATGATACTCCTTTCTTTATAGTTCACAGATAACTAAAGTATGAAAAATTTGATCACAGACTGCAGATAATTTTGACTAACTTATAGTTGTATACAATTATACAAATCAATGTTTTATTTTACGTATAATATAGGAATGTTTTTATTTAATTACCTGTAGTATATTTTTAGCTATGATCACAGTGTACACGGAGCAGGTGCCAAAGTAAGTCATGAAGAGACTGACAATGATGAATATCCTGAAAAAAGAAAAAAAATAATAATTGGTCCTTATAATATATTTCAGACTAACTAGATGTTTACTTAATTATGTTAAATTTATACACATAAATAGTTAGAAGTAGTTTAATTTCAAGGCACATAGACTTGCAAATAATAAGTAATATACAAATATTACAAGGTGAGTTTGTTTATTTATCCGCGTCAATCTCAGGAACTACTAGTTCGAATTAAAAAAAATATTCTTTTGTTGTCTGGACCATTTGTCGAGGGAGGCTATAAAACATCAGGCTGTGGCTAATAGAACTTAGAGACAGGGGGACATGTCGAACGGAAAACGAAAGTGATTCCTCTTTGAGAGTTTTCATTGCTAAATGGTAGTAAAACCAAATAATTTGTAAAGAATTCCTCATTAAATACTATTATATATAATTATCTAAAAAAATGTCGGCGACAGTATATGTCTATCTTTTAAGATTGTTTTGCAATACCTGAACCGTTTTTGCATCGTAAGCCTTAATGATGAATAATTTTCCCAATGTTTTTCACATTTCTCGCTGTATCTTCGCGTGTATTAGTCACAGGGCGTTTTATAGCCATCCTCGATAAATGCTTTAACCGACAAAAATAATTTTTATATTCGAACCCTGTTGTTCCTGAGGTTAACGCTTTCAAACACACAAACAAACTCTTCAGCTTTATATATTAGTATAGATTTTTACTTAGTATTGATTCTCTCATGGACAATGGACCGTTAAGTGTTTACCTGAATGAATAGGCCCACTTCTTGCCCCATTCAGGGCCACTAAGTAGAGCAGACTCCGCTACTTCTGCGAAAGTCATGGCTGGTCTTTTTGTCTTCACGTAAAGAATGTGAGCGCATTTAATCTGTGGACAAAAGATATAGACTATAGAGAGAGTGATAAACTCAATATTGACAAAATTTCTTTACCTTTTTTACTCTACTTGAGTTGTTGTTAATACATGTTACTTACTAAATTAATAATCTATGTTGAGAAAATTTTACGACACGCGCTGCATATGAAGCGACATCCACAGCGTTCCGGGCTGTTCTTACAAATTGAGCTATCGTGTCGTACACGTTATCATCGTTTTTTATAAATTTAAATAGATTTTTAATTCATATAATGCTTGCTTGCTAGCTAGTAAAACATATTTCAATAAAATTACATACACAATATTAATTATTTTTGTTATATGTTAAGTAAGCAGTTAAAGACAAGATTATCAACGACTCATACAAATAAGGAACTGGTCTTAAAAACTAACTGAGTAATTTCCAATGCCTAAATTAACTAACATATCACTTGCTTTGCAATTTTCCCTAACAATTACAAATGTACTGATATTCTTATATTGGCATCTTAAGGTAAGATAAATTCTTTTGCATTATTTCCTATTTTGACAAGTACGCTTCAGTAATTATTTATTATATTTAATTTCACATGTGACTCTAGATCTAAATAAAAACGATTATATTATGTTTTATAGTTTATTGTCGGGTATGACTCGGAAGGCTATGGAGGCAAGTTCAAGTCCCACCCGTGTTATTATTATTATTTTTAATCTAAATAGATTTCCCATTTATACCAGTATTATGTTACTATATGTTAATATACAATTTTGCAAAATATTTCGAGGTTAAAACCGTTAAAAGCGCTTCATTTGTCCATAGTAAAATTTGGCAAACACAGAAAAATACAGTCGCTTTATCGCCAGCATAAACATTTGCACACTCGTATGGATTGGAATAAGTAGAGCTTTAACTTAACTTAAAATATATTTAGTATAATTTTAATTAATACAACTAAGGTTTATTTATTTATTATACTTACGAGTACATATGCACAGTGAGTACATATCACAGCAACAATAATTGTGAAGAAAATTCCAGCTATCAACCCTGATGCTTTGAAGGCTTTCGGCATCGCCAGGATTCCGGTACCAAGTGAAGCTTTTAGCAGATGAGTAAGGGTGTCCATAGGACTGAAAGAAAAAAAAACTTGTTTATAAAGTAGTAAAATTCTTTCGAGTTAAAAAGAGGTCTGCGAATTTTTTAAATTGTAAATACTGTCTGTAAATGTCTTTGACGTAGTAAAAATAATTTCCAAATAAGTTTAACTAATATATATCGCGTTTTAAACCGTTATAATAATTAAAACGTCAATAATGTTTAATCGAATTTGGTCAAACTATTTGGGGGTTGATAAACACACTGGAAGTCTATGTCCAGCAGTGGACACTGAACGGCTGAATCGAAACACACTGGTAAATCTTAAAACATACATACATTATATATCGTAAAGGGACAACAAAGAACGAGGAAAACTTTAAGTGAACTTAAACTATAAATACGCGTTGAATTAATATTGAGTTTATTGATAGCTTTGTTTTCCTCAATCTTTACATCAACTTTGTAATCCTCCATAAAGTAATACAATCAAATATTGATTACTATATACATCTTTACTAATATATATAACTCTAAATAGGAAGTAAGGGTTCGTTTGTTGAAATCGTTTTGTGTTGGTTAGATCATTTATCGAGAAAGGCTATAGGCTTCCTTTATTCCTCTTTGAATGATCTAAAAAAAGTCCGCGACGCTATATGTCTATCTTTTAAGGTTAGCTTGCAAGAACGACGGGAAGGTACCCAATCGACGTCATGGCTAAGAGCGTAAGCTTATAAAGCTGACGGAGTTTGCAAAAACTAATTTGGATGCCCAAAATAACGATTCTCGCGGATGAAGCCGTTGGCACAGCTAATAAATAATAAGACTGGAAAGTAATGTCAAAAAAACGACATTACGTTCCGGTTCTTCTTGTACATAGATATTTAAGAAACCACGTTTCTTTTTTTTTTAACTACAGGCGATATTTCACGGGTAGAAGTGAAAATAAGGGAACTAATACTTTTCGCATTTTGAACCGTTAAAAGTGTTTTATTATATTATAATATATTTATATATCTGATTAGAATATTTAAGAGCCAGAGTTCAAGACTGACTAGTATTGACAGACCTTTTAATATGTAGGGACTTTTAAGTGGGGTGAAATATCTCAAGTTTTAACATAAATTAGAATCATACCGTGTACACCTTATCGATAAATAAAACAAGATTAGGTGCTTCATTAGAGCAGGACTAAGAAATGCTTGTCTGTAGTCTAAATTTATCAATAAACACTTTCACCGTTATTATGCGAAGTTAACTTAGTGTAAAATAATAAAATTGAAGTACTCACGAAGTTGGATTCTCCAGTTGCCTATCTGCAAATGGGTCATATTCACCCGACTCCGGATCTTTTGTTAGAGAATATCTGAAATGGAGAATGTAAAAAGTTAACATACATATACCAAACCCTAAATAAAAGACTGCTCCCGAAACGAGCTAGTTTTCCAGAGGAGAATCTAGCATTAAAAGAAATTACTTACGAACATAATAGACAGGAAACGAACCCATTATAAATGTAAAATCTATGATACATATATGATTTTGTTATTCAAAGATATATATATATATATGGTTAACTTGTCCGCATCACACGCACGCCGCTGACGTATTAAATAAGTCAGCTTAGGTTGGCTGGAAGAAATCGCTTTATAACGAAGAGGCAGCCGTTTTTCGCTCGCATTTTTGTAATTTCATCAAATTAAATCTTATACTTGTATTTATTATTTGCTTATAAGACTGTTTTGAAGAGAAAAACGACATTGAGACATTTCCGCAAGCAAAAGGACGGTGCATTCTTCACAACGCCTTGTCATCTCTAAGAACGCATCACGTCTGTTTCTAACAGTTCGTGCTTGCCATGCGTCGGGCCTGAACCATACTAATGACCCGACACATAATATAATTTGTCTCCCAGGTATGTCTGTAGTCATGCATCTAATCGTAATGAACGTGGAATTTATTGGGGATTAAAATAATGCTGCACGTGGCATATTCAAATACTCGGGGCAGAGAGGCCATATGAAACACTTGGTCAAAGCGTGAAGCCTATCAAAGTTGCACTAGTTTATATAAGAAGCGTATTTAGTATGAGAGTATTATAATTCAATTCAGTCATGTAAGACACGACATAATTGTGTGACAATGTTGATAGGAGTCATCCATTATTAAAGGTCGTTTAATTCTATCAGTTTAAGACTATCTCTCTTTTATACGTTTGAGACGAGATCGTTGGTCCAGTGGTGTTTAAAAGTGAAATACCGTTGCCCATCGTGGGGTGTAGGACGAACGAATTGTCAGTTTCAGTTAGACAAGTATCTGATTAGACAAAAACGATTTTTTTTCTGGAAGTCAAACCCAGGTCCTCTCGCAATCAACAATGCTAGGCAACACGTTAAACATTTAGCTACAGATGCGGTCCATTTGTATTCTAATACCAGCGGTAAAATGGATCGGAGGTTCGATTTTTCGGTGGGTAGAGTTATATGTATCTTATTTTTTTGATTTTCAAAAACGTCCATACCTGACCTGAAAAGGGGCAATATATGCATCTGCTAGAGGCAGATATGCGCAATTAAGTTAGGCGAACATGAATTTGTATTTGTATTATTTGTCTAAGAATTATTATTATTAATTTTCGGTCACTGAGCTCTGGATTAACATTTTTAGACTATAAAAATATAAATAACTCAAGTCATAAAATTGCAGTTAGGCTACTCTGCCTCTAGCAGCCTCATATGTGGCAGAAGTATTGAAGTCTGCCCGGGTTACATTAGACCGTCTTCAAAACTTCACAGGTGTATAGCCAAGTTTGACAACATATTACTGACTTAATAAAAATCGTTTAGTTGTACTTACTTTTTAACTTCTACTTCTTTACTCTTTTCGCTATGCGGCAGGAAAGTTTCCATCTCCTGAGAGGGTGGTACACCGTTCGAATCCTTTAAAAAACATACCAGTCTTTAAACATGGATAATTATCGATAGAATGTTAAATAAACTTGTCAAAAATGACCACCAATAAATGTCTTCGGAATTGTTTATTGATCGTTAACACCACTATGCAAACCGTTAAAGTCTTTGTCAATGTACAATTAAGTAGGTTTTATCATGCTCGTTAAATAAAGCTGCATTTAATCGGTTGAAACACGCTTTATATGAATTTAACTACATTATACTGGTAAATTTAGAAGTCATGAGAAACACTTGGGACATAGTTTACGTTTATTAAACTACGCGTATAATTGAGTTTCGAATCGTTTAAAGTTATGAAGACTTATGTTAAATAAAGCAGTTTTAACGGTAGGACTCGGTAGCTCAATTGGTAGAGCACGGAGCGCTGACGATGCCGGTTCAAGTCCTGCCCGAGTCGAAAACTTTTTCAATTTATTTTCGATTTATGAATTATACAGTTTTAACGGGTTGAAACGCGCATCATAAAACTTTAACTAAATCGCAATTGTGAATTGGAGCACCCGAAGCAGTATGTGCTGAAACTAAATATTTAGAAAAAGAAAAAGCTTTAGGTAACTTACCATCTTTCAAGTTGTATGCGTACTTGGCGGTCCAATTCTCTGAAAAAGAAAATTAAAAATTAGTTTCGGATGCTATAGTATATGTCTGCAAAAGTTGGATAGATTATAATATTTTAAATAAAACACTTTAACGATTTAAAACGCGATAACTAACTAATATGTCGCGTTTTAAACCGTTAAAGTGTTTTATTTAAATATGTACTACTCGCGTAAACTATAGACAGTGTTTAGATTATAATCTATCTATAATATTTATTGTTATGGTTTTATATATCCTAATAAATCGTCAACGGGTCGTGGGTTCAACACTCATCGGAGCCAACATGATTCTAATCGATTTGTAATTTTTCTAGAATAAGTTTTAATTAGGTAGGGCTATTGAAAACTCCGTCCGGGTCACAAAACTCTGTGGACGCACAGATGCAATAGCCGTAAAGTGTATTCGCATTTCGCATTTTAACGGTTTAAAACACGATTAAACTTAGTTGAACTTATTTGAAAATTATTTCAACATCGGCCTGACGTTACGGATGCTTTGTAGCAGCTGTTGTCACGGAGAGGCTTTAGAACCCGGTTTACGTATTGCGTTTTAAACCGTTAAGTGTTTTATTAAAAAATATATATTAGTTGGGCACGAGTCGTATAGGCTAATAAATGAAACGCATCAGGAAGCCGTGAAAATTAAAACAATGTTTTTTTACAAATTAAAAAGCAATGCCCCAAGGCCGTCGTATTTGCGTATGGCAATGACAACAAATGACGACAAAATCGTGAACAATTCTAGCAACGTTATGTAAAATACCTTATGTGCAAATATTTGTTACACTTGCAAGGATATAGTTGTTCAAATAACTCGAAAACGGTTTAATCTCTGTCTTATATTGTAAAGAATTTGCTTACACACATTTAACTTAAACATATTAACGATCTTTTCCGAAGCAGCAACCTTGGCCTCGGGGGGCCACAGCTGTGTTGGATAGCATTTATCGAGAAAGGGTTTAGGCTATGTAACATTACGCCGCGACCAATAGAAGCAAATATAGGTCCTATATACCTGTGTCTATTTTTAGAAATTAATTAGCAAGAAGCGTTATATTATGGTAATCAAAAGATCACGGTTAAACACGCGATATATATTAAATAAAGTTATATGAAAATTATTTCAACAACGGCCCGACGTTTCGGATGCTTTGCAGCAGCTGTGTTCACGAGGATAATAAAGTCAGTAGTCAGTAACGTTAAAATATAAAACTACTACGCTAGCGCCATCTGTTCCGTCGTATAAACCGTACCGGACAACTCGCGCGTAAACAGCTAGATTTGTATGAACGATAATAATCTTGCAAACAACAAAACAACTTTTGCCGGATCAGCTAGTAATAACATAAGGATACAGGAATTCGGAATAGCAAACACCACCACAGAATCACAGAGCATCGCTATTTTCCTTCACCCGTGACGTAAAGAACACATCGATAAAAATTAGAGATACGCCGAATTTGACCGAGTATTCGACCAATCAAATTACAATTAAATTTAAAATATTATTTTTTTATATTACTGTTTTTGTAATTTTGTCTCATTGCTACTCATTCCTTAGCATAATTTTGATTTTATTAATTGGGATTTTCAAAATTTCCTGAATAACTAAAATATACTTTTGGATTAACACTGTTGTTTTAATTATATCTATCTAAATATTTTTTCTTACACAATCATCCTCTTTGTTATCAAATAACAAAGTATAACCGAGTTATTCGATCGAGTACGAGTATCTAAAAACAGAGAGTACCGAATATCAACCGAGTACTCGCTACTCTAATAAAAATACATATTATATCGTATTCATAATATTATTAAAATAATTATCATCAACGTTATCAGCTAACGATTCTGTTTTTGTTGTCAAGACATTTTAATGACGTTGTGAGTTTACGTGCGAAATGTTTTATCTCCTATGTATATATAACACAGCTGTTTATTTCTACTGTTTACAGCCATTATATAAAGCCATTATATAAATACATGTAACATTCGCTATATTTTACAATAATGTTTTTATTGGTGTATCCAAAACGATAATGTTTTATTATAGCACTTAAAAGTATTATAACGTTTAAAGAAGAATGTTTTCAAGGATCGATTTTGGATTGTAAAAAAAATTCGATACGGGCAGGGCTTGAACCGGCGTCCACAGATGCCGCGACAGACAGTGCCCCCGTACACATCGTTCCGTGCTTCAACCAATGGAGTCAATCAATCAAATTATTTGGAAAGAGCAACAAACAGCACGGAACGCTGCGGATGCCGGGTCCTGCCCATGCCGTATTTATTTTTCAAATCCAAAATCGATCTTGTAATAAGAAAAATAAAACTAAAGGACGTTTTAAACTTTATATATATAATCAAGTTCAAATATATATAAGTTTAACCGTAGCACCAACTCCACATACAAATGCCGGTAACTTTGTAAATACAAGTTACTGTAGATACACCGTTACTGTTGATTTGTATTCTAGCACGACTCAGTCCTTAGAGAAATGCTACTGATAGGTATTTGTTTTCTATGCCACGCTCCCCCTGTGCATATGTATGTATGCTGAGGGTACGGGGTCGGCAGAAGAACGGACTGGAATTGTGCCCGACAATACATGGATGCATGCATCGGTCGCTTGATGGGAAGTCATACCAGCCATATATGCGTCGTAAATTAGCTTTGGATATTCGTGTAATCTACACGCGTGAAACGAAACGGAATTATGTTTTTTCTGAAACACCTTCGACTTCCGAAATCTGGAGTTAACTAAGATGGTAGGAATATCAGAAATTTCGTCTGTGTCATAATAAACGCCACAATGAGCCGTGGTTGACAGCTCATCTTGTTCAGATGTTGACCTGGGCTACTTTACGTAATATCAAGTTAGCGCGTGCTTGTTGTCATAGCATACCAAAAAATTATGTCAGTAATAAATTTTTGACGTTGTAAAGTATTGTGTATTATAGAGCCAGATAAAGTGCAAAATGTGAATAATCAAAACGACCTACTTTTCAACCGGTTAACTAAGAACTAGATCAAGACGATTACACGTGTCATTAAAATGCATAAGACTAATAATTCTCGATTGGATTGAATTCTGAGCTCTAGCACTTTTAAATAAAGCTGCCATCTATGTTTTTGCTTCCGTAAATATATTTTGAAGACGGGTAAACAGTTTGTTTGCGATATTTTCTTCGACTCGTTACTCGCTAGTACTCGAGTTCTACCAGAATGTATCTTTATTTTTTTTAAAGATACTACTTTTCTTTTGGTGAAGTTAATTTCATCCTACAGTGTATACTTGCAGCAAACAACTTAGAACAGAACGCGTTTAGAAGATTCGCGCGTTCCAAATTTAAAAATTACAGTCAAAATTTAAAAAAAAGTTCAAAGAAGCAAGAGAACTGGTGAGATTTTTAAATAAAACCCTTTTACCGGTTTGAAACGCGACTTATATGAGTTAACTTATTTTTAATTTCTTTTAACTAAAACCCGATGTTTCACAAGACTTATACACTTGTAATTTCGCTAGTGACATACTTGGAGTGTTGTTTTATAGAATCTATTGATGCGCCATTGCATATGTAATCAAGATATTAATATATTCACGGTTTTATAAATAATACATGCGTTCGACAATTGTATTCCTTTCAAAAAGATAAATTGTTAAGATTTACACTACAATTGTCAGCCTTCAGACTCGAAAATGCGAATTAACCACCGTGACCATTCGTTCGAATAAAGTCTAGACTTATTATATTAGAACGACACAAAATCCATTAGTAAAGAATAAAATTCGCTTCGCATTATATTTTTATCTATTATCTATATTATCTATTGCTTGATTAATATAAATCGTAATAATTATTTGATAATACAAATCAATCAGGATCAAATTGATAAAGACTTAGTGCAACTACGATTTTTAATTAACTAGAAGTTAATCAAACGTCACGTGTATAATTTCTCCTTTAAGGGACATTTGACAGTGCAAGGGCACCCTATAAATATTGATAATATTTTTATTAGCACTATATGTCCAATAATTAGAACATTTTTTTAACAGAGCCTACATATTTGTAAGCCTAAAACAACTAAAAACATGCCCATTAAATTAACCGACCAGATTGCATTAATAATAAAAAAAAGGAACAAACGAAACAGATAACAAATCAAATAAATAACTACATATTTTTACAGTTTCAGTTAGTTACCAAATTCAGACTAGGTTTCAAATAAACCAGCTTTAAACCGAGTTTAATAGACCTCGTATTTCAATAAAAGTGTATGAATAGAATAACGAAATTAAAAAAAAAGAACAATAAAAAACAAACAGAACATAGTTCTAAGTACAAAATAGCAACTGCTTTGCCTTTTTAACTAGTCTAATTTAAAATACAGCGAAAATGTCCGGTTAATTCTTGTGAAGTCCGGAGTTCGATACAAATAAGTTTAAGGCGGGATAATTAAGTATATATCTTTTTATATGATAGGGAAGGCTATATAAACATGAGATCAATTGATGATAAGCAAAATACATCAGCCTAAATACATATAACATCTCAAGTCCTTGACCTATTTTGGTTTTAGTTATTCGAAAATCCACAGACTGAAGCCGTCATTTGGTATTCATAGTTCATTGGTAGTCACATAGTTATACTATTGCTTCCTTCATAAATGCTCTAATTAACACAAAAATAACTTTCATTTCATTCCTGAGACTAGCGCGTTGAAACAAACTATTCCGCTTTATATATATGTATAGAGTATAGATGTTTTCCAAAACCAAGATACTCCAATTCTTTGGATTATTTGATCATTCCACTTTCATTTCAGATAAGGCCATTTTCTAGGTCACGCTTATCAAGTGACAATGATTTTAATGATAACAATTCCACTAATTAACCTTTTGTACGTATCTCATTATTATACGTGGCATATGAGTGCTTACTAAATACTATTATCA